TCCACTGCATATACGCACCCTAACCAACGATCCTGAGACTCAAGCTCATATCGCGGTACCATAATTTATAGATATAAATTCCCATCCAAACCAATGTAGTGCCGCTCAACTGTTCGTTGCCATGACATGACATAAAATTAGGATTTAAATGTTTTAATTAAATCCCTATCCTTCCTATTAACAGAAAATATAAACAACCATCCAATATGTCGTTCAACTATTTTAGTTGACAGGGCATGAAACCATGTAGGATTTAACTGTTTTAGTTAATCCATTCCGTATGTATGAATGGGTTGGAATTAGCGTTTTGATCTAATCCGTCTCTCCGTATGTCACTGTCCCATACCGGTACATACCATGCATATGATCCGTAAAAGATGCAACATTTTTAAGCAGTACATCAAATAGTATCCACCTAATCCAAGTAGTTAATAAATGCAGAATTTAAACCGTTTATCAACATCCAATCCAGAATCCATTCACATAACTTAACGAGACTAAGTTTAATAGTTCATCAAATTAAAGTCCAGCATCCATCCAGTTAATTGAGAAAGAATACATAATTAATTCCAGGCCATCACCCAATTAGATTGACGAGACCCAAGTATTAGTTTAACAATTTAGGTCTAATTCAATAACTCAAGTATTTGCATAATAGTGCTTAATATTATTGTAGTTACAATCCCAGCTTAAATCCATGTATTGCAAAACAGAATTAGCATTTCAGCAGTTAACATCCAAGGTATGCTTAGAGCAAACTTGATAACTAACTGACCCTAGCATGCAACCAAAAATAAGATTTATAACCATACTAGATCCCACCGGATTGCTAAAATTAAACTTAGGCAATTTAAGTTTTCTTCCATCCATTAGCCGTATAAAAAAAAATGCATAAATTTTATACGGTTTGTTCCGTTAATTTAGGGGTAACCCTTGATCAATTCAAGTCCTATTAACACCTAAAATTAACTTCTTAATCATTCTGTGTAGACCTAGAATTTTTCCAGAATAGTTCAGTTCCACCCGTCCGTTAACAGTATGTTAAATTGTATAGTTTTATACTGTCCATCCTTTAGTGTAGAGACATAAATTATGCAACAAGAGGCTTTAACCACACTTGAAATTAGTATTAAGAACCCCAGTATGCTCACCACATAGTCCAGACCAAACTAAAAACATCCAAACATCACCTAAAACTTCAGAAAATCAATCCTCGTGAGAGACTGCTCCAAAACCAAAAAAGAGAAGGCTCCAAAAACAAAAGGAAAAGGCTCTAAAAAAAGAGAGCAGGCTCTAAAATAGAAGGAGAAGGCTCTAAAAAAATGGAGAAGGCTCTAAAAATAAAAGAGAAGGCTCTAAACGAAGGAGAAGGCTCTAAAAAACAAAAGAGAAGGCTCCAAGAATTCCTGGAGCCGTCTCCAAGAGGGTAGAGCCGGCTCTACCTCTCCTAGAGCCAGCTCTACAATTGGGGGGAGCCGGCTCTCTCCCTTTCTGAGAGCCGTCCGTGATTCTGTGAATTCTACGACCTTCGTCCCCGACTTCGGCTGCTTCCAACCCTCTCTGTTTATTTTAAACCTGAACCTAGATGTTCCAAGTATGTCCAGTATCATCCAGATTCATTATTCATACCAAATAGCATTACTAAAATCCTTTAACACCTACCGATTATAGTATGCTTATAAAAACAAGTACTGTAACCAAACTTTCAAAAATCATCTCAGAACTAATTCAAGGCAAAAATATGATTAATTTGACATATAAAAACATGCACGATTCAGTTATTGATCCATTAAAACCCTAGAGCATACTTAGGTGCACAGAACACAAGCTAAAGGGAAGGAGGAAGAAAAGAACTTGCCTATGATTTCAGTTGAAATCCCGGCGTCGTGTCCACTGTTCCGGCAACACCGAGTTACTGTCTAGCCTCCTTCTACTTATGTTCTTCCCTTCTCCTAGGTCTGGCTTTGAAGCCTCAGTAGGAAATCTCACAGACTTGCTCTGTTTCCCACCCTTCCTTCAGACTATAACCATAAATATATAGGCACAGATAAAACCTAATTCCAATGCTAATCCGCGACAGAAACCGTAATCTAAATTAAACCCTACTCGGCCCATAGGATAAAACCCTCATTAGAAACTTTGTTGCTTCCACCTATAGAACTTCTAACAGTTTCAGTTATGAAATCCCTAAAGGCTTTATTAACGTAATTAAATAATTAAACATCTATATTAATAAATCAAGGACACTCAAATAATAAAAATAATTCAGATAATTTAATTAAATCCAGTAATACAAATAAATTAAATAATGCCATTAAATAATTAATTCCAATTAAATAGAATAATTAATCACATAAGGCAAATTCAAATATACAATTAACAATTAAATCAAATAGAAATAAAACAATTAAACACATAAGCAAATAAACACAAAAATCAATTAAAAATGCACAAAAATAAACGTTAAATTCTAATTTTATACTTTTGGAAAATAGGGGTATTACATAGACCCACTAGCTTCTTGTGGTTAAGTTATTTATTTATTTTTTTTTTTTAAGGCAAACAACAAGCACACCAAACACTAAAAAACATAAGTCAGTCTGCCTAGAGCAGCACATACAAACAATTGACGAGGCAAACCATGGAAAACCTGATCCTCCAAACGATGATACTTAGAAAGTTTAGCTGCTTCATGTGCCACAGTATTTGCTTCTCTTTGGACATGGGCAACTCAAGCAACTTGAACGGTATCCATTATATTCTGAATATCAAGGACAATTGCAGAGATTTTCGAGGGAAGCTCTCTCACCCAGCACAACCTCACAGAGAATAAGCAAATCGCTTTCAAAACATAAGTTCTGGAATTGAAAGCCCAAAGCCCAAATTAATGTTGCTCGCATGACATATGCTTCGGCCATAAGAGACGAAGAAGCATAGAATTGTTGAAGCACAACCACTCGCTTTACAACTTCGTTTTGGTCCCGAAAAACCAGACCTCCGCCAGCCAAAACCATTATAGGCCAAAAAAGCAGCATCCATGTTACACTTTAAAGTACCCTTAGCCGGAGGCGTCCAAGCTTTACAAATTGAATCAACCATCGAAATACCGCCCCTATGAACCTCCGGGTTATTCAAACATGCATCACTGAATTACCAGAAAGTTGTCACAGCTCTTTCAACCAATGACGGAACCAGAAAATTTTTTCCGGCAGACATTATAAGTATTATATACCGTAACATATATTTATAATATAATGTACATGTATATATATATATAAAGTGATGGTGATATTTTTGAAATTAAATTAATTTCCAGATATAAAATATAAGTATTAAGAAAAAAATTTGAAACATATATAGAGTTTTATGAAGAATGAGAAAATTTAGAGGGCACTTTCCATCTTTTTATTAAAAAAATATATATATTATTATAAAATATATATAGAATATAAGAGGGAGAAATTTAGAGGGGACACGTGCACCCCCTGATCTTAACTTCCTCCATACCTACTTTTAACTATCATTTGGAAAAAAGATTTCTTTCCCTAGTCTTTAACTTCTTCCGTCCTGCTTTTAACTATCATTTGGGTACAAGATTTCTTCCTTATAAAACTTTCCAAATCACCCACGCGATGAACGAGGCCATGCTTAGCCTCAAGACCTTTTTTACCCACACACAACCACCATTTGGTGCAAGTGGGACCAATTGTTACTCGGTGGAGAGTTGGTGAGGATTGTGTGAAATGAGGTAAGGTCACGGAGGGCCGATAAGTGAAAGACTAAAAAGCCTTGGAATTTTGTCAGCTCCTAAAACAGATTTTGTGGGACTTGAAATTTATTAGAAGTTGCTTTTTCTTGTTTATCCAAATTGGAATTTTTAAATTTGCTTTCCGGAAAGGCTCACTAGGATTGAAATGCCATTTTAAGTCGAAAACAAATATACCCTCATCTCTCCCACACACTCCATCATACATATATATGTATGTATGTGTAATATATATAAGTAATTGCAACGTACTCCGGGGCGACCTCCCAAATTTTTTGTGAAACCTTCATACATAATTACATATTTTTATATTTTTAAAATAAAATATAAAAAGAAATTGACATTTGGCACCTCAATTTTTTTTTTTTTTTTTGAAGAATATCACAAGAAGAATTTGATAAGTGCTTATTTTGGAACTTTTTTTTTATGGTGTTAAGCAAAGTGAGAAATTCTATCCACACCACCATTTTCTCTTTAACAAATCCAAATTTCAATTAGTGGATTATTAATTATTTAATATACCACTCACTCCAAAAAGCATTATCGAAAGTATAGTGATATACTAGCCGAAGAGGTTAGCCTAATTATTGGACCGAAATGATCAAAGGCTCCTTGGTTACCAATTCAGACAGCGAAGAGCCTTCATCCTTTCGGCCCAATAAAATAGGTTAGCCTCGTCAATTAATATATCATTGTTGTTTAAGAGACTGATCCTAAGGTTGAAGAGGCCAACTGCAACGAGTGGTCGCTTATTTATTTAAACAAAAGTTTAAATTATTGAATAATAATTTATAACACTTTCCAGACCACACGTTTGACAAGGATTGAGTCTGACTTTGATACCAACCGTAACGGGTGAGTGTTTTTTTATTTACCCAAAAACTCAAGTTATTGAATAATATTACATACTTATCTATTTATACCCAATCACTCTCCCATTCGGATCCAATGTGGGACAAATACGCCTTGTGACACCAACCTATTTGTTTACCAGATGTATCAAAGCCCTTCATGGCCTGAATTGGGACCTAATTGAATAATTATATAAATTATTCATAATAAAATGCTGAATGAGTTATCAAAATGGAAAACATTTCTTCCTCTCCATTCAGGTTAGAAATTTCGCACCTAGTCAAAACAAGATTAAATTTTCCTGGTAACAATGTTCTTAGATATCTGCCATCGGTATCACATTTCTAAAGAAAAATTAACCATCATCACAAACTCAAAAACATTTTACAGGAATTCAAAATCACTCCTCTCCATGTAATATTAGAAATTCAGCAGACAAGGCTGACAGTACGCGTCAACACAAACACACACACACACACACACAGAGACTCAAATATCCCAATCACAATCACTTGGACAATTAATATTACCACGTATATTATTCTGTGGGCATTACAAGCTCAATATCTCCGACTGGAGAAAAAAAGGAGGAAAAAATAATATTCCAAGTTCATTAACTCCCTTTGGAGAGAAAGGGAGTAAACAAGAACATTACAAACTCGTTAACTCCCTTTGGAGAAAAAAGGGGGTAACAAGAACATTACGAACTCAAAGATGGGGAAAAAAACCACAGGGCTGATTAATTAATAGCCCAGTGCTTAAATGACAACAGATGAAACCAAATGGGGCACTTAGAAGCAGAAAGAAAAAAAAATGAGCTATGAATCACGCTCATGTACTATTCTCCATTTCAACTGCTGAATTGACCCCGAAAAAGTTGCATTCCCCATCATCTAGCCATAAAAAGCCAAAAGAAAAGAGCCTTCTTTCCACCAAAATATGAAACATAGATACTCCTATTTACACAGAACACTTTACACTTCTTTATTTGTGCAAACACTGCTTCTCTTCACGAAAATTATCTTCGGGCTAGGAAGAAGCTGAAGAACACAATTATTCATTATCGGTTTGGGATCATTCTCAAACCCTGGCAGAAGCCGTATCTGCAAGTTTGAATATAACAAAGCACAATTAGAGCACAAAATTACGTATTTTACGGTTTTATGTAATTTATTTCTTTATTGTCTAGACAAGTTAATCTGTGAAAATTAATCCAGATATTTGAAGAATAAAGGAGGTGACTAGAGTCACAAGAGTTCTATTAACATGAGAATTCAACTGCTTAGAATTGAGAAACTTGAACCAAGACATTTATCCCGGTGTAAGCCAGCAAGCAATATCCTGTATTCCTGTTTAACAAAATCTTTGCCATGTCAGCAAGTTATATTAATATATAGGCCCCACCAGGTGTCAACTCTCGCAAAGCACATAGCTCCCACTCATTTACTGTCTCACTAGCAGTGCCAAATCAGAATATAAAGTATCATCAGCATCACAATCAAAAGCAAGGTAAGGGTATGCCTAGTTCAGTTTTTATTTTTTATGTTTTTTGAGAACAATTTATGTGCTTTTGGAGAACAGAAAAACAGTACAAAGTTTCAAAATTTGTCTGATAGCTTCCGAAAGCAGAGTTAAGAAAAGACCCATTTTCTTTTTTAGTTCTCAACAAATTGTTTTCTGTTTTCATATTCTTGAAAAATGTCTTAGAGAACTCAATTGAACGTTAGTAACTCAAATTTTCAAAGTTTTAGTGAGGCAGCAGCAACCCACGAATTGGCTGCTTGTGATTAGTAATTTCAGTGGGGCAGAGGGAAGGGAAGCTGAAGGCAACAGAGGAACCAATTTCATGCGAGGTAATTCTAAAAACAAAGTTCAACAAAAAAAACCCATTCAACACCCTCAGCAGCCACATGGGAAAAATATAAATTAAATAAAGGAAAAAGTAAAAACACACATCCATATTTTCATTTAACTAGTAGCTAGTGAGTTATAATTCTTTAATGTACGAACTCCAATAACACAAAAAGAAACTAATAAATGAAAATGTCATCTATTTTTTACTAAGACCAACTAGATCCACAAGCTTGTAGCCAAACATTAGCAGTAACATACATATAGGTTGAAGGCTGATAACACAACTATAAAATGGTGATATATGAGCACTATTGCCAGCAATTCTCTAGATCTAAAGAGATTGTGCAAGATGTTTTGAAATTATAACACCTTAAAAGGGAACTAAAGTCAAGATTTGAACTAGGGACGGATTAGAATTGGTAAAATAGGGTTTGGGAAGAGAACTAGGGGTTATAGGATTGTAAAAATAATGGTGGTTTGATTTAGCAAAGCACAAAAGTCTTCAGCTTATCAATTTAATATTTACCAATTCCGGGACATGATTGCAAGCTGTTACAGATTTTGGACTCTAGTAATAAGAAAGCCAGAAAAAGCAAGATAACTAAACTAGTTCACAACAATAGGATGACCAGCTGCTTCAACAATAGTTACAATACCACTACAGCTTCAGTAACTATAGCTACACGTAGGTGGAAAAATTTGCAAGTAAAGACAACTAAACAGATTCACACCAAATACACTAAAGAAACGTATCAAAATTCTTGTTATTGCTTAGGTTAGCCCTATTTGAACACAAGAATCAATCTAACAGTCCTTTCTCATTGTTTTTCATATATCCTTTCTCTAGTGTTTTCTATGTGTATTTATACAGAAAAGGCTCCTTATTTTTTGACCATCCAATCCCCGATTTACGGGGATCAGGGCTAATCCCCTTTCTTTTGGGGAGTCAATTGGGCCATGCCAATCCCAATTCGGTTCTTTGCTGATTCCATGGGGTCCTGGCTTATCACTTGGCTAATTTGTCGGGCTGATCAGCCACGTGTGCTGTCCGAGTTGGCACGTACACTGGCTACATTTCACATTGTGTTTCGTTGGCGCTTTGTATAGGTGTCGTGACTTTATTTGTGAAAATTTTACCTACAAACTTTGCCCCAATTCCCTCTTATTTTGATCCAACGGTCACAATTACAGGGAATTAATTGCACCCGTACGTTTTTTTATTTTCAACCATTAACTCTAGCAATCGAAGGGTCGTGTCGCTTGGGAAGTTTGAGCGTTTCGCCCAAGGACGGCACCTAGTAGCTAATCGTTGTGTCCCTCCATTCCCTAATATAACCTCTTTTTGCATTTCCCTAATCTTCAAGCCAAGTACTTTTCACTTTTCACTTTTCCGTTCTACCACCAAGTCCTGTGTAGCTTGAATATGTCTCCTCTTCAATTAAACCCTAACTTTTTTAGGATCTTATCCACCCTCCTTGTTCTAAACCAAACGAGGAATCTTAATCTTGGGATCTTTAGACCTCTTCATCTACTATAAAGTGTCCTGAATTCAAGATGAGACAGATAGGTATCACCTTTACCAAAATTCGAAGGATAGGATCATTGGTTTTGGCAACTCCTCTTTTGAGAAGAACTGAAGAGCCATCTTGTAGTTGTTGGGGGTTAGTGGAAGGTCTGTTTTTCTTATAACTAGAAGATCCTGAGGGCGTTCCACTCTTTAGGAATTCCCTCCTAGTCTTAACCCCGCTTTAGGAATTGTTATTGGTTTATGTATGACGTCCATCTTTTTAACTTTGTTTGCAAATTTACTGGTACAGTTGAGGATAGTGTTCCTTCTGCTGAAGTCAAGAATAGACTAGATTAACTTCAGCAAAATGTGTGGAACAACGTCCCTTCCATCCCATCTCTCATTTCCTTCAATAATTTGAAGTCTATTGTTGCCGAAGAGTCTGCAGAGATGAACATCCCTCGCTTCATTCCTCCTACATCTCCCCCACTTACTGAGGAAGAGAAGAAGAGGGCAGCAGATCCGAAGGCCCAAGGCAAGAAGGCCATGACTGAAGTCAATCAGGAGGCTTTGATGAACGAGTCTCTATCCAAGCAGTTGCTCTGATGGAGGAACAAGAACCTCTGGTTGAGAAGATGAGGCAAGTGGTAAATCATCAGTAGCAGAAGTGGAAGATGGAGGAATAAGAACCTCTGGTTGCGAAGATGTCATATCTGGACTATAAGAAACAATGTGACAAGATCGAGATCGTTGATAAACCTGTAAAGGAGGATTAGAAGGTGGATCCAATGGCATTGGAAGGATAGGAGAAGATAAGGAAGGCTCCCCCCTCACGAGCATATATGAGATCTAGTAACAAACGCTCACCAGATGATGAGAAGAAAACATGGGATTAAAAAAAAAAAAAAGTAACATCGGCACTCACAAAAGTATCGTCGAGACTCGGGACTATAGAAACTGTACCCCTTTTGAGTATGAGAATATCCAAGAAAAACATATTTACGAGCACGCAAAGAGAGTTTGTCTAGACCAGGATCCAAGATATGAACAAAGGTTACACAACCAAGGACACGAGGAGTGAGTTGAAAAGGAGAGACACTAGGGTATAAAAGAGAAAAAGGAGTTTGGTTATTCACAACAGTAGAGGGCATACGGAAAATGAGATAACAAGCAGTAAGAACCGCATCAGCCCAAAAATGTTTTGACACTTGCATATAGAATACTATGTACGAGCAACATCCACTTCGCTCAGCAACACCATTCTCGAGAAGTATGAGCACAACTAGTCTGATGAATGATACCACGATCAGCACAAAAGGAATTCATGATAGACTCTGTATACTTTAAGGCATTATCAGATCGAAAGTTCTTAATGTGCTTACCAAATAGAGTAAGAATTTCATTGTAAAATTTAGCAACAATACGAGGTAACACATATCTCTCTTTTATAAAAAATAACCATGTCATTCGAGAATAATCATCAATGAAGATAACAAAATAAAGGAATCCGTTCAAACTAGCAGTTCTAGAAGGACCCCAGATTTCCATGTGGACTAAATCAAAGGACTCGGCTTGACGTCTATGACTACGACTCAGGAAAAAACTACGATGATGCTTACCCAACTGACAAGCTTCACACTCTAGAAAAGAGATATGACTCAACGTAGGAATAGCTAATTGTAACTTTGCTAAAGATGGACGACCCAAACGAAAGTGCAACCGAAGAGAAGAGCCTGTAGCACTCAAAGCCGATGACAAGACAGGATAAGGTTTACTAGAATCTAGATAATATAATCCAGATAGCCAAGACGCATGGGGTTGACTGACAAATATAACAAGTTGCACAAGACTGTTGTGGCTTGAAGAAAGATAGCGATGGCTTTGAAGCCCAAGTTAAAGAGTTGAAGGAATCCAATGAGGAGCTTGAAGCTCTGGTGAAAAGGTTTAAGAGGCGAAACCCCTTTTATCCAGGTTCACCGGGATCTCTTTGTTGAGGAGTGCTGAGGCTTTCAGGTTTCGTTTCAGCCAGGCTCTTCTTCCGGAAGGTGGCAATTCGTAGGCCCTGATCAGTTTGGATTTGGGATGAAGATCGATCCTTCTGGCATGTATGAAGGTCCAGAGCCACTTGAGGCCAAAAATTTGCAAGACAAGACAACTCACACCAAATACACTCAAGAAACGTATCCAAATTCTTATTATTGCTTAGGCTAGGACTTTTTGAATACGACAATCAATCTAACAGTCCTTTCTCACTGTTTTACATATATCCTTTTCCTAGTGTTTTCTGTGTGTATTTATACAGAGAGTTGCTCCTAATTTTCCACCCATCCAATCCCTGATCTTTAGGGATCGGGGCTAATCCCCCTTTTTGGGTAGGCAATTGGGTCATGCCAATCCGAATTCGGTTCTTTACTGATTCCATGGGATGTTGGCTTATCAGTCCGCTAATTTGGCGGGCCGATCGACCTCCCTGGTCCGTTCAGCCAACCACGTGTGCTGTCCAAGCTGGCACGTATACTTGCTACGTGTCGCATTGTATTTCGTTGGCGCTTCGTACAAGTGACATACCTTTATTGGTGGGAAATTTCCCTCCACACTACATCAACTTAAAAAGACCACAAGTAAAAATATGAAACCTATAAATAAAATATAGAAACTATTCAAATGGAGGGTCAAATGTACGCAACCTTACCTTCATGTGAAGAGGCTATTTCCGGTTTCAAACCTGCGACCTCCAGGTCAAAAGAAGATCAGTTAATGGTAGTTAAAAGTTTGCAAGATTCAGTCAACCCCCTATACATCTAGTTGAGATTTTATGTACTCTGATAGCCTGTAGTGTAGATACTCCCTTCACTGTTAACCATGAAGTCTTCCCTTACATAAACCTCAGCCAGGCAACAATAACATTGCTAGGCATACTTTCATTGAGTTCTAATATGTAACAAGCAACATTACTAGTAAAGGTAATGATAGGAAAATTGAATATAGAGAAAACGAACCTCATAATGCTCAAGCAAAGACGCAAATAATTTAGCAACTCCAAGGATTGCAAATTTCTGGCCGATGCATGCTCGCGTACCAGATCCAAAAGGAAGAAATGCTGAACTTTCATTTGGCTCATTTAAAACATATGAGCTCCGTGCGCCATCCATTTGTTCCTCTGCAGACCCATAGAAGAATCATTGCCATACAGTTTATGCTTGTCAACCTCGATTGTTCAATGTCATGCTAAATGTAATACTTACTATAAATCTAAATTTGCCAACTTTTTAAGCTGTACAAAAGGTGAGAAGTGCAAGTGAATCAAATGCAACATAGATGAACATGCCCCCATTTGTACTTTAAAACAATGTAATGCACATCATGTCAAGTGTCATCTTTTTTTTTTTTTTGATAAGTCATGTCAAGTGCCATCTTTAATTAAATTAACTATCTTGTATGGACCACGAGATAACATCCAGTATCATACAAATAAATTAAAAATGTCAAGTGCAAAAGAAGTTCCTTGTGCCACCAACATGATAGACATGCAACAAGGTAATATGGCTTTTATTAGATATGCTTTGCCTATATTTGCCAAAATATCACAATTAGAAAATTAAATGCAATGATGCAAATTGCAAGAAATTCAGAAGCATAATGCAAACAAATAATAAAGGTGATGGCAGAAGTAAACCTGTGCTTAATGTTAATCCATTTTTGGCCTTTGACAGAAAACGAAAGGGATTAAATTGGCCAGCATCAGCTCCCCAACTGGAATTATCCGTCTGTACCAACTGAATCGGCACAACTAGCATAGCTCCAGCAGGTATTGTAACACCAGTTTTAAGATTCAAGTCTTCAAATATCAACAAAAAAAATAAATAAATTATATCAATTATTATGTGTGAAGCACAGAAGAGAAGCAAATATTAGAAATAAAATTTAGGAACACTAAAGTAAGCATGATAGCTTGACAGCATATTAAAAAACAGTAAAACTACTAGCTTAGATAAATTTAAAATTTGCTGCTAACAGGATAACCTTAACCAAATCTTCTTCTGAAATTCGACAATGATTCAGCAAGTATGATTCAGAGGAATCAACAATGATGATGATTAACTACAAATTAATGTCAAAATAGTTCACAGACATTCCAAATCAATTACAGAACCTGGACTAATGGCATTGGAAAGGAAATTAAATCCACAATTACATAAAAGAAGCCACCATTAATCACTGGAGGTAAATGTCAGCAGCACATGAATAAATTGACCTAGGTTCTCTAGTCAATAGACAAAATAGTTTACTCAGAAAGGAATATATGTCCATGTGTCATCACATTTTTAGAAACATTACAGATTGACCTCTAATAACATATCCATAGAAAGAGTTTGATATGAAATTAAGGTAGATTAAATATTAGTACCGAATCAATTAATGAATGAATGAAACTTGATGGGTTCAACTGATACAGTCCAGTACCAATTGAATACTGTTGAAAGATATAAGATATAAAAGTTGAAGAGAGAAACTAAAACATGAAGAACACAATAATACAACATGGTTCAGCCACTAGGGCTTACATCCACGACACACAAAGCCCAGAGGCCTATATATCTTTATTATACTCTCTTAATCTTTCTATACAATGATCACCTCTATTTATAGGTGAAAGAATACAAGTGATAAATATGGAAAATACATTGAGGGAAGATTCCTAAAATTAATACCATAAATTATTCCAATAAAATATTCTATCATAGGCTAAAATCTCTCTTATGATATTCTCATATCAAATATTCTATCAAGGAGTAATTTAAGGGTTCCTATAATAATATTTTCCAACACCCCTCCTCAAGTTGGTACACGGAGATTTTAACTCAAGTCCAACTTGAAACTAAATATGAAGTTGCGAGAGTCTAAGACGAGTAAATTTGACACGAGTTGATCTGAAGATCCGAGATGAGACGGGTTGATCTGGAGATTCAAGATCAGTTGATCCGGAGATCCAAGACGAGTATAGTATAGAGTAGGGTATGAGAAACCTGCTCTGATACCATGTTGAAAGATATAAAAGTTGAAGAGAGAAACTAAAACATGAAGAACACAATAATATAACGTGGTTCAGCCACTAGGACTTGTATCCACGACACAAAAAGCCCATAGAGCTACATATCTTTATTATAATCTCTTAATCTTTCTATACTCTCTTAATCTTTCTATACAATGATCATCTTAGGTGAAAGAATACAAGTGATAAATATGGAAAATATATTGATGGAAGATTTCTAAAATTAATACCATAAATTATTGCAATAAAATATTCAATCATAGGCTAAAATCTCTCCTATCATATTCTCATATCAAATATTCTATCGAGTAATTTAAGGGTTCCTATAATAATATTTTCTAACAAATACATATAAATAAGTATGATCTTCCCGATGTTATAGACCTAGAGGGGGTGAATAGGTCTGAATTCTGATGGATATTTTTCTGTTCTACAAAATTTATTCTCAATTAACCAATTATTATTATTATTATTTTGATAAACAGTTAACTAATAAATTATTACCTTCATATTTGTGAAAATATAAGTTTGCAATTCATTTCCAATTCACAAAAATGCAGTGAGCAGTAAATAAATAAAGTATAGCAAGTAGAAGAGAGGCAGATTTACGTGAAAACCCCTCAAAAGAGAGTAAGAAATCACGGGAACCCCTCAAAAGAGAGTAAGAAATCAAGGGACCTCGTCCAGTCAGGCACAATCCAGGATAGAGAAAGAGATGTACAATCAGGTCACAGTTCAGTACGCTCAAACTCCTAATTGATTCTTGACACAATAGAATACCTAATTTTCAACACCCTCGAAGATCTCCAGGTCATTCTTCTGATCTGTCAACAGCATCCGCACCACACAAACCTGCTTCTCTATTGATTGCTCTCCGTCTCTATGTTGCCTCGGTTTACCGTATCAAAACCGATCTATCGGTTCCTTTATTTTGTAATCAATCACTCAAGAATAACCTATGTGGTTCCTAGATTGAATATGTGGAGAATATCTCCAAGAGTGTAAAATATGCAACCACCCAAAAACTCACTCTAGATCTTTTCACAAATCTCTCAAATTGTTTATATGTGTGTTAAAGCATGAAAGATTTCACTTTTATCTAACCTAAAGACCATATATATAGTCAAAAAGAGTTAATCACATTTTTGATCTTTAAAAGCAATTTTTTTTTTTTTGATAAATAAAAATGTATTAGAAAGCGTTCAAAAGGGGAACGCATCCCAAGAGCTGTACAAAACCCAAAAAAAAGAAAGGTGGAAAGACATATGGACCCAAAGAACCCAAAAAGTCCACGATTTCATCTAAAGATGAACAATTTCTCCCCCAACCCCAACAAAAGAGAGAACAAATAATAGAAAACTTTAACGCCCCAATAGAAGATTCCTCCCCATCAAAAGATCTTCTATTCCGCTCTTTCCAAAGGCTCCACCAAACACAAAGGGGGGTCACCCTCCAAAAATCGCAAACATGCGCCCCCACCCTTTGGCCCCTCCAAATGTCAATCAAATCCCTTGAGGTTCGGGGCATGACCCACTGGACACCAAAAGTCCCAAAATAAGACTCCAACAGTCATGGGCCACAGGACAATGCAGAAGGAGGTGATCCACGGACTCTCTATCATTCTTGCATAGACAACACCGATTGACAATGATTTGTCATTTCTTCCTCAAATCGTCCAGAGTCAAAATCCTACCCCAAGTTGCAGTCCAAACAAAAAAGGCCACCCTAAGAGGCGCCTTCGACTGCCAAACCGTCTACCACGGGAAAGTGGTACCGTGAAACCCAGAGAGACAGAAAAAGAAGGACCGGACCTGAAAAGTCCCCTGCGCAGAAGGCACCCAAGTCAAGGAATCCGCACCAGAACCATCCACCTCCTGTCTATACAAGAGAGCCAGCAACCCAGTGACGTCATCCAACTCCCAATCCTGAAAGGATCGCCGAAACTACACATCCCAGGACATTGATTTTCGAGAGTTGCTACTGTAAGTAGGATGCACTCCCCATTTGAGTGCTTCTTCTATGAATGCTTTACTTACAAATAACAATAATAATAAATTTCTTTGAGGGTATTAAAGGTGTAGAGGAATTATTTTTCAAATTTGCTCCTTGAATAGATATATATATATATATATATATATATTTCAAGTATTAAATTGATTAAATAAGAAAATTAACAAAGTAACTCTCCAAAAAAAATATTTTTTAAATATTAAAACATAAATATTAGAGAACTCAAATAGTGTAATCTGTAAAACACAAGTTCATCTCATAAAGCCCAGTTCACTCCTTAAGCATACACATATATTTTCATTTTCATTATTATTCTTTTATTTTATTTTTCCTTTTTTCCTATGTTAGGTAGCTTCAGACTAATCTCATAGGTAGCCCCTTCAATGATTTTAACAGTCTTATCTTATTGTTTTCTTTTTCATTCTTGACTGTCAAACACGAGACATGATTTTTTCTGATCCATAATCATTTTGATTCTTAAATAAAATTCTCAATTATAAAGAGCACACCTTCACATTTATGAGAGAAAAAAAAAAAAAAAAATTTAATTATCAAGTTTCAATTAACAAAACAAATCATCAATCCAATTACAGTAGCCAATACTAAATTTAATTACAAGCAACTTGTTACCATGGTTTAGAGAACATCTTTGCAGCAAAGGCCCAGCTGGAAGAAGACGAGCAGATTCATATACAGTAGCCAATAGAAGGAGCATCTGATCAACAGCTTGTTGATCTTGCTGCTTTGATTCATTTCGCACCATAACTATCTCAGAATAGATCTGCAGAAAATTAACATAGTAGAATCATAAATTTCCAATCTACAACCCACTAATGCTTTAGGGTGTCACACATATATCACAATCATCAGAAGCTTAATCATCCAACAAGCAACTAAGAGCAATGTCAAATATCAATCAAATAACCAAGATCCATAACAATTTGGGTTTTGCCTTGGTTTCCCTGAGTACCAACTTCACTTCCTTTGTGTAGTTCTCAGGATGCATTCCCCTTTTGAACGCGCTCTAATATATTCTTACTTATCAAAACAAAACTTCACTTCCTATTATTTTGATCCTTCCTTGTTCTCTTACTACCCAGGTTACACCTGACACTGACTGTTAATTTTGATTCCAAGGAATCAAAGAAGCTCCGAGAGAGGATTACAAAAGAATAAATAATTGCCCTTCAGAAATTTCACAATCTATCAGAAGGTAAGAAATCAAAGTATGCCATACACTGGAATTATCTAGTAAGACCGCGTATTGGCAATTATTTACATGGCGAATGTAAATTGTGACACCAACTCAAGATAGTTTCTGCCTTAATATTTGCCTCGATAATGCTTAAAATCCAACGCTACACTATATAAAAGCATTGTGTTATGATGATGCCAGATTTAGGACTGGAATCCTCCTATTCTTCAAGCATAACTGCAAGTTGTTATGAATTGGTTACGATTTGCAAGAAAGTTATGCATGACACCAAACACATCGAAGATGCGTCCCTTTTTATCTTACATATGAAAGCAAGCTGTGATGTAATAGGCTATCTCATGCAGTTATGCAACTGGTATGTTAGAAGATGAAAAGTAAGCAATGTTTACATTCATCTTACTGTGGCTATCCTGGAAAAGTAAGCAAATTTAAAACTGCATCAACATCATTGCTTCCGGAACAGACCTTTTGCTTTAAAAACATTTTTCTACCATTATTCCCTGATGAGGTTTCACATATTATTATCCAAGAGAGGATTACAAAAGAATAAATAATTGCCCTTCAGAAATTTCACTATCTATCAGAAGGTAAGAAATCAAAGTATGCCATACACTGGAATTATTTAGTAAGACCGCGTATTGGCAATTATTTACATGGCGAATGTAAATTGTGACACCAACTCAAGATAGTTTCTGCCTTGATATTTGCCTCGATAATGCTTAAAATCCAATGCTACACTATATAAAAGCATTGTGTTATGATGATGCCAGATTTAGGACTGGAATCCTCCTATTCTTCAAGCATAACTGCAAGTTGTTATGAATTGGTTACGATTTGCAAGAAAGTTATGCATGACGCCAAACACATCGAAGATGCGTCCCTTTTTATCTTACATATGAAAGCAAGCTGTGACGTAATAGGCTATCTCAGGCAGTTATGCAACTGGTATATTAGGAGATGAAAAGTAAGCAATGTTTACATTCATCTTACTGTGGCTATCCTGGAAAAGAAAGCAAATTTAAAACTGCATCGACATCATTGCTTCCGGAACAGACTTTTTGCTTTAAAAACATTTTTCTACCATTATTCCCTGATGAGGTTTCACATATTATTATCCTGAATCTTCTTCTCTACTATAATACCAAGAAAACCCATAGATCAGAGTAAAGCAACTTAAATTTTTACATTTGTCATTAAGGAGTTTTTAAAAATTTCAGTCCTTTGCAAACAAGTATGAGTTGATCAGAAATCTTTCCACTTTTGTCTCTTACCAACAAAAAATAGCAAGAATAACCAAATCAACCATCAGACATTTCGAAGGCCGTCAGATTTTACAAAGTCACTTCCATCACTCATTGATATGATATAAATACTAGGGACTGTCCAAGGACGGGTGGCAGAATTTTCCCAGTATATCTGGCATCACTTTCAAAGCAATGAATACGGAAACATGAAAAAGCAACATGTGTTGAACCTCTCAAAATTATAAAAAAAAGAACTAGGTAAAAAGAATACAGCTACCTTATCCTGTAATTCTGGATGTGCCACAAGTCTTGCTAACATGTTACCGATCAGACCTGCAGTAGTTAGACACCCATGAAACATTACACTTGTAATATTCCCACATGATTCTCCTGTATCAGGATGGTCATCAAGCTGCTGCAGAAACAAGTTATTTGGCATTGCATTAACAGAAGAAGGTGGTGCACCAGATGCAGCCTCCCGCCCAACATTACGAGGGATTTGATCTACTTGAGTAAATAGTTCGTAATTTTGTCTACACTGTTGGATAATGTCTTGGGTTAAGCATTTTAGCTTCGTACATAAATATTGGTACCTCCAAAATCCACGTTTCCAGAAGGGAGTAACACTGTATGAGGCCCAAAAGCAAGCATCCTTGGCAATCATCATCAGAAGATCTTCGTAAACGGTTGCTTTGGACCAAGACAAAAATGTATCACCAAAGAGGGAAGCTCCCAAGATGGTGAAAGCCAAATGTTGAGAAATAATTTTACAGTCAAAATTTCCTTTGGCCATTATATCTTGAATTCTTTCCATTACACAATCTGCAACTTTTGCTGGAATAATATTTGCTCTTTCAAGCAATTTCCCATTTAGTTGTCTTTCCAATGAGTCCCTTCTCTTCTGTACCTGCAGATAATAGGAAAAGTATAAACATATGAACCATTAATGGAGAAAAATGAATGCAACCACAGACAAGTTCAACAGGGAAAATATATATATATATATATATATATATATATATATATATAAGAAGAACATCTTATTTTATTAAATAATCTTAAATCATATCAACAGAATAAGATCACAAATCAGTGGTTTAAGGATAACAAGAAAGGCATCCCAAACATAATGCAATCATAATTACTGAGCTAAGCAATGTTTTCCATCTAAATCATTAAAAGCAAAAAAGACAATTAGTAACACATCACACCCTCCTCCTTTCTAGGAATCCCTAAATAGTTAACAACAAAGCCAAATAGATTTCGTTTTCTATTTGGAAACCATTGGTGTGGCAAAGTGATATCCATGCCTTATCACTGTATTGTTGAAAAAGGGGGTATCCTTTAAGCAAAAATTTATCCAAGATGCACATCTCACTAACGTGACTTTCTTTGATGGTGTTGTTTAAGAGTGTCCTGATGAGGCTTTTTTTTTTTTAATAAGAAAAGATTGAACAAAGAAGCGTTCAAAAGGGGAACGCATCCCTCAGAAAATACACAAGGCCTAATAGAGCCTCTAAACTCTCAAAGAATCCAAAAAATCAACTATCTCCTCCATGGATTTACAATATCTCCCTATAACCCAACAAAAAAGAGTGCTAATAATAGAGAATTTGAACTCCCCAATATGAGTCTCCTTTCCTTCAAAGGACCTCCTATTTCTTTCAAGCCATAAATACCACCAAATGCAAAGAGGCGTAGCCCTCCAAAAATCACTGACTTGGGCCCCCACTATACAACTGTCCTGATGAGGCTTTTTGAAGTAGTTCCCCAAGTAGTTTGGGTCCTTTGGGAAGATGTGTTGGAGTTGAAGGTGAAGGCCCGGCAGATGAACACCTTCATTTGGTTCTGCCTCCAGCCATCAAGAATACTAGAACAATGACGAAAAGTTGGCAGGCCGTGTTGAGTGACTGGAAAAGCTTGGAGTTCTTGGAGGCTTATGGCTTCAAGAACTCTTGAGAGCATGAAAAAAGTGTGAGAGTTATAAGGAATTTGTCTCTTTTATAAACAAAAAGAATTTATTTTGGGTATATGGAAAGCTTTTTAGAGATAACAAACACAATAAACCCAAAATCTTGTACTGATGTATGATCTGCAGAGATATGTTTTTGGCCTCTTCAAAATACACTCATTTTTAAAGCATCTCAATTCTAGAACACTTCAAAATACCGAAAAGTAAAAATAAGAACTCTAAACAAATTAAAATCTTAAAACACATCAAAACAAAATACTTTTGAGATTTTTTAATTTTTAATTATTGTTTTTACCTCTGTTTTTTTTTTTTTTTTTTGAGAAATCACTTGTGCAAACAAGGAGACGAGATGACCATATGCACCTTAGCAATAAAACTCTATAATATAATTGCCTATGATCATTAAACCTGGCAGGAAAAAGTGCCATGTGTTGGATATTCCATAAATGGTCTATTTGTCGTGTCACTTCAAAGAAAGGTGAAAGGTTCACATTGACATTGAAGCTATGATTGTGGATTGAAGACTAAGCCGAAGGATTGCATCGACATCTTGCTTCAACCTTCATCAATTACACAATATAAAGAAAGTAGGTGGCCTAAAAGAGCATAAGATTCGGAGTGAATAAATTAGGAAACTTGAATTAAAATGGAATTAATCTGAAGCTAATTATTAATTAGTTTTGATATAGATTATCAAAAAAATAAATAAATAAATAAATTAGTTTTGATATAAACATAAAGTTTAAAATTGAATATTATTTATTTAAGAATGAATTTGAGAAGCTTAATGTTGGTTAGAAAGCTTAGATTTTGAGTTTAAGTTTAAAACCAATTTAAAAGTTGTTTTCGGTAAGGATTTCAAGTACTAAAAATTGGCTTTTGTGTCTTACAAAATAATTAAAACTAAAATTCTTACGAATTTCAATTGTCTTTATATATTCAGAAACTAGATTTGGTAAGTTATCCCACAATATAGTATATGCCTAATTTCAAGTCTCTTTTACCACTCCACAAGTGTATGGAGTCAGGCTATGTGCGGTCAGGTTCACCAGAAAAGGTTAATCCTTTCAAAAGATCTATTCCTTTTACGCCATAGCCCACACCAAATACAAAAAGGACTTTCTCCAAGTGTCTTGAGCATGGCATCCCACTGTACACCCCCGCCAACTCTCAAGCATCTCAGCCATAAAATCCGATGGGACCCAATGCTCACCAAATTTGCAAAGAACAAAGCCCACACATCTCACGCCACAGGTCAATGCAATAGGAGGTGACTAACCAACTCCTTGTCCCTCTTGCACATGCAGCACCAGCTAACAACCTACCTCCTTTTTCTCAAATTATTCAGCGTCAAGTTCTGGGGAGAAATTGTAAATTCTTGGAGCAAGTTGTTGATTTTTTACACTCCTTGAGGGTCTAAAGGCCCTATTTGGCCCTGTGTAGCTTTTGAGGGATGCGTTCCCCTTTTGAACGCTTTTAATACAATACTTATCAAAATAAAAATAAAAAAATTATCCAGCGTCAAAATCTTCCCAATAGTCGTCATCCACCCAAAGAAAGCCACCTTGAGAGGATCTTTAGATATCCATGCTACATTACATGGGAAAGAAGACGGCTGTTGAATTTGAATAATCTGATAATAATACTTCACCCTAAAACTTCCATGGGTAGAACCCAACTACTTCCCTCAGCCTCCCCCTCCCCCTCCCCCTCCTAATTATATAGCAACTAAAAAGAACAACAATGTCCTCCAATTGGACCAATTCTCAATCCTGACCTTGCCCTCTTGGCTAGGAGAATGGCGATATCGTCCAAGATGAGTTTAAGAAGTGCTTCCTGCAAGATGATGAAAAAAATGTTCCTCCACATCCTATGTCATCATACCATTAACAAGGTGGTAAGAGACGGCAATCATGAGGAGCAGATCAGTTAACGAAGTGGATTGTGTACTTTGAGACTCAGTGAAAAGTGTTTTTTTTTTTTTTTAGTGGATCAATATGTGCTAAGAGATAACTAAGAGTTCTAGAGTTCAGAAAGTGTTAACCTAGTTGTAAACCTCTTTCTCGTAGTGGATTTAATCTGCTTGGATTAGGTCCTATGGTTTTTCCCATTGTGGTTTGCCATGTAAAAATTGGTTTCATGCATGTGGATGTTTTCTACTTTATATTTCGGCACTTTACATACTATTAAATGTTTATTGATTGATAATTAAACTTCAGTTGATTGTTAAAATAGAAATTAAGTGTTGTCAGGGGAGAAAAGACCTTAATTCCCCACCCCCACCCGCCATTTTCTTTCCAGGTTTAATTGGGAATAGCGTATTCTGACAAGTGCAATGGATGACAGGACAAAGAAAATAGGATGAAAATGATTATTTCCATGAGTCTTAGAGATCACACAAGTTGGAGACAGAAAAAAACCACCGGTCACGAAGGATTCCTACTGTGCAAAAGAAATCAGTAATGCACTGATTAGTCAAGAGGCACAAAATGAATAATCTATCATAGGGTGAGAGTGACACGAGAATCTATCATAGTACCAGAATACTGACACAAGACAATAGAGAAAGGTTGGAGGGGAGGACACACATTCCCTACCCTGAAGAAGTTTGTGTATTCGACCGCAGCATAGTGATAATGACTTGTTTAGTAAAAAAGATGCAATTTTCTATTTATGTTACTTTAAATAAAGATCCACAATTTTTTTTTTTTTTTGACAAGTATAAAGATGCACAAATTCAAAAGCAATATTCAAGTTGTTAAACCAAGACATTTCTGAGAAGGCATGATGCTAACTTAGAGAACTTCAGCAGTGTGCATGTGTGTAAACCAGAGAAGAAAAAAAAAAACACTAAAATTTCTTTCAGAAGTGCAGAAATTCAAATAATCTTAGAATACAAACAAATGTTTATGTTATTGAACTGTTAACATGAAATAGGGATATGTATTTAGCTTTTAAATAAATAGTCCTATTGAAAACTACAACAATCTCATCGCATAATTATTAGATAATGAACAACATTCATATCAGGTGAGGCCAAACAGTCAATGGCACATGATGGGGGAAAAGTTTGAAGCATGCACCTTGTTAAAAGAAGAAACGAAAAGGCTTGATTGTCCACAGGCTTAAGAATATGAGGTGAAGAGAAACAGTGAATGACACATGATGTGTGTGTGTGCGGGGGGGGGGGGGGGGGAAGAGGATTTTGAAGCATGTACCTTGTCGAAAGAAGAAACAAAAAGGCTTGATTGTCCAAAGGCTAAACGAAATGCCCTCCCTGTCAAGGGAAATTTATCCACGGCTTTTAAGAGCATCTCTTTAATGAGTTCTGGATCCGTCATTGACACTAGAAGCTGAGTAGGACCCAACCACAGCTTGATAACTGGTCCATATTTTTCATGCGATTTTGACAAAAGATCTGAAAACCAGAGTATTGTAATTCAGTGCTTGAATAAAAATGTCAAACTAAAATCATTTTAAGATTTGATGTGTGCAATCATTAGAAAACATGCCTCAAGGACACCATAGTTCATTGTATAGATCCAATCATGGATATGATGGTGATGATTATGATGATGCTTCAACAGAAGTAAGCAAGCAACAGAAAATCGAACTACGAGGACTTGACAAATGATGCAAAAACTCCTTTAAATTACCAACGAAAGGGTTCAAAAGCTTTTTAAAAAATAACAATAATAATATCGAGAGGTAGGAAACCCTTTACTTTCTATTACATTAGTAAAGCGGAGGAGCCAGACGTGACCCAAGAATTATAGGCATATGGTGCTTTTAGGAAAAGGTAGTATAAGAATGCAATCCAGGCAGTACCTTAACTTTTTATTACCATTTGAGACTCAAGGAATCTAGTACATGAACTGAGCCCAGTGTAACTAGTTAACTAGGTGGAATTGGTTTTTCCATTTTCAGGAAGCCAAAGCAGGAGAAACATATAAGAATTCAGGTTGTGTTTAGAAAACAAACACACACACACACACACACACACACACATATATATATATTGTGATATTTGGCTAAGTACACAGGTAGGACTTCTTCATCAAGTCCATGATAAGGAAGTCCATTTAAGAGAAGTCAAAAATAATTGTTTTGAAAACAGTTGTCTGGGCTTTATTATTTTAAGCATTCATCATTAGTTGTCTGAAACAATTTCTTGTCATTTTTTTGTCGGGTCGAAATTAGTTATGTAAACGGTTTTATTCTTGTGATCATAACAACTACAATATAAGTATTTTAAAGATTTTTTAAGTAAAAGCTATTCTACTAATTAAATGGGATTCTTATACACTGTCACCAAACACGTGAGCCAAGTACTTCTTAATCTAAAAGGACTATCAAAACGGTATTTACCAAACAATTTTGTCCCTTTAAACTCCCAGCATTTTCTTCCTAAAAAGGCCTCCCTGGAGAAGGAATATTGGTGTCATGAAGCTCCCAAACACTACTTCAATTTTCTTCTTTATGCCATTTCATTGTTAACCATCCATAGAATTTTTTATTTTCTCAAAGTGATAACGCAGCAGATGGCCTGAAAATTTCCTTTATTTCATTTATTTTCACCATTTTCTTTGCAGCCAAAATCAAGAATTCTAAATGCAAAAAACCTAAAATACTGAAATTCAACAAAGAACAACACCTGATTAAAATTTTAAAATTACACCCTTTGCTTGTAGAGAAAATGAGAAAAAGAAAAAACAAATATCAAAATTTTTCGATCTTGTAAGGCCTTGGACCCAAGAAGGAAAAAAAATTCCCACCTAAGAGTTTGGCTATGTCATTCTCTTTCTTTCCTTCTACTCCAAATTCTCAGCAACCATCATGTGACAGGAAATTAATCGGGAGTTTATGCAATTGTTTGAACCACTCAGAACATAACACAATTTTCTCAGTAACCAAACATGTGATAACAAATTCAGGAGGAGTAATCACTGAAAACCTACCAGTGAGACTCGCTCCGGAGATGAGGTTGGAGTGGCCGTAGAAGGAGGGACAAGGTGGGCCAGGTATGAGGCTGCCTTTGGCCCACAATCCGAAGAGCTTCGCGAGCTTTCTGAGCAAGAGGAGAGTGATGGTGATGAGAGATATCCACAGGAACACATTGATCTGCCTCGTGACGTAGTCTCTCAAGACCTGAGACTGATGAGGTCTGCCAATTTCCTCTGCGTCGTGGGTCAAATGTTGTGTCAGAAGCATCGCGTACCGATCGCCCAATGAACTCATTTTCTTCTCAAGAGAACCATTAATCGAATCGAACAGGGAGCGACACAGCTACGACTTCCAGTTCATAGACTTCCACTCCGTAAAAATGCTCCGTAAAAATAAAAGTAACAGACTTCCCAGTTTTGAGAGAGAGATCAATGCATGCGTTAGTGTGTACATTTTGTACCGTTTGGCAGCGGTTTTTAGTTTGTCCTGTTCCTTTGACCCGAAGTAGAAGCACAATTCCTGCTTCAGAGTGTGTTCAGAGTATATTATTTTCAAACTTGTTATTAAAAATATAAAAGAATGTTTTGTAAAAAAAATGTTGGAAAGTTTGAAAAATTAAAGTTAAAAGTGTAATCTCCTAAATTTAAATAGTCATCAAATTCCAAAATTGCCCTCCATGATGACCATTATACCCTTTAATCTTGTATATAAACCTTTGCCTTTCCTTGTACCAAATCAAACTCATTTCAGTCTTCAGCCATTTCTACTATCTCTTTGCCCTCACTCTCCCATGTCAGTATACATATTTCTATTGCTATATATATATATATATATATGTATAAGGAAAGGCAAAGGTTTATACACAAGATTGAAGGGTATAATGGTCATCATGGAGGGCAATTTTGGAACATTCAACATGTTAGTATTTTATCTAGTGTATGACATGTGCATACTACTATTATCATATATATATATATATATTTCCTATTGTTGTAGGGATATGGAGCCCTCAATGGCATCAAGAAACTTGTCGAGTGAAATTGCCTTTGAGAACAATAACGACACATTAAAATCTAGGACACAGGTTTTATGGATGTGGAAGCTATCCTATAAGATGTCGTGAATTTTTTAGAAGGGTTGATCCCCAACACAATGAAGTTCAAAGAGAACTTAATTGGAACCATATGGAGAGAGAGATGGCAATGAGGACCATTTCAATTTTAAGAGCTCAAGTTATAATGAGAAATATGGAGTTGGAACCTTTGCACAATGATGACACTATCAACTATGTGGGTACACAAAATGTACCAACTATGAGGAATATGAATGGTAGAATAAGTTACATTCATGTTGGTTTTTTTTTTCTTGTGTTGTTGGAATGTTGATTGTGTGATTTTTTAAACCAATGCAACGATAAGTTAATGTAATGAAAGTACCTATTTCTTAGCTATCATAAGATTGTGTATGTGAGCATGCATGAAACAAATTTGGATTGCAAATAAAAATAGTGCACTAGAAACCTAATCATTATAACTACCACAACCATTATAAGCCTTAAACATGAACATAAATTTTCATATACCAACTCACATTATAAAAATAAATAAACTGCCATTACACCACAATCATTATAACCCTTCGACAGCAACATAAATAGTTATATATGAATTGTCATTTCATCAAAAAAACTGTCATTACACCATAACCATATAACCCTTTAACAGCAACATAATATCCACATTCTGCAACCAACAACCAAGTTCAACAAGTCCTTACACCAAACATGTCTAAAGAGATGTTTAAAGCCAAAAAATAGTTGATACTATCTAAATATTTCAACAAAAGTCAAAAAAGTAGGAAAAATCAAAAAACAAAAGCTGTTAATTTCTTGCAATTTGTTGTTCTCTAAAGCCATTTTACCTTTTTCCTTTCTGTATACCAAACATGTCTAAAGTGATGTGTTCATTGTTTTGGTCCTATAATAAAGAATAATATCGAATAAAACTACCATTCAAATGACAACACTATTAAAAGTACCATTCAAATCATATCAATGTCTAAAGTGACAATAATATATTTTATACCTTGAGGATGAAGCCTGACTACTCCATAAGACATTCAAATCTACAGAAGAAGACTGAGATAAGCTGTTCAGCATATTTCCATACCTTGATGGTATGGAAATCACCTATGGTAGATAAAAAAAAATACAATGGCATTAGCATTTTTGCTTAAATTACTCATAATTTTAGGATAAATGCAATGGCATTAGCATTAGCATTGTGCATACTTCTTGCAATTGTCTTTCACTGCTTCCACCTCCTCTTCATGTTCTTCTCATAGCATTTCCAACACCTTTTCCTCTTGCATCACTATCAGCACCTCTTCCTTTAACAACACTTCCATCACCTCTTCCTCTTGTAGCACTTCCATTACTTCTTTCTCTAGCAGTCCTAAGTTTAACTCTTTCTCTAGTAGAACCACTTGCAGTCCCATCAATGTCTAATAATACAGCTGGTATACCAGAAGCAGGAGGCAATATAGGTCTACCTCATTTACCTTTTACTTGACCCCTAGGTTTAGGTGTTGCCTCAGTTGCTTTGCAAGTTCATTATAGCTTGTTTCCCCACACTTAGTACATCTAATACGTTGCCTTTTTCTGCCAAGTACATTAGGTTTACTAACCTCACTAACTGTCTTCTTCCTTGCCTTTTTAGGTCTGCTTGTAGCCTTAACAATGGGTGGCTATATGTGATCAGTGCCAACTTCACGTTACAAGTGTTTAAGGGGCATAAGAAATAAGATAGGGTTATATAACCCCAAATAGGTATCCCTATCATAAGAGTTGTCAACAAATAGCTTAGGTTGCCCCCTATTTGAAATAATATATACAATTGCATGAATGCATGGTATCCCAGTTACATCCCATTCCCTACAACTACAAGTTCTTTTTTCCAAATCCACACCCTCATCATCCCTTTGTCGTGAACCTCAAATATACAAGCATTTGATTTTTTTTTTTGTACTGCAATGTCTTGAGTCATACATCCTCTTCTCCAAAATCTATGCTAAATTAGGGTACAACAAGCCACTCTTCTTCTAAATCCACTCCTTTTTTTTTTTTTTTTAATTTATTGGAAACAATGCATCAAATAACCACGAATCCACTCCAACGTTGGAATTTAAGGCTTATCCCTAGCTTCACCAATGTTATCATTTCATGTTTTAAGCATGTTGTTAACAATCAACTTACATTTGGAATTATCATTGAATTTTGACATTAACTATAACCTAGCAGGAACCTTTGCAAGCCATTTATACGTATCCTTATCAATCTTCTTTATGATATGCATGTGATATTCAAATTCATCACTAGTCACTGTAGTCAGTGCCCTTGCTGCATTCCACATCTCATTTCTCAGCTTTACCCCCTTAAACTTCTTCTTGAAATTATCATACATGTGCTTCACACAATATCTATGGTCAGTCTTATGCAACATGTCTTCAAATATCTCCACTAAACCCTATGAAACAAATATTCAAATAAATATATGTTAAACAAACATTCAATGAAATATAAATGTTTTCAACTAACATTTAGTATGCGTATTATTTAAAATTTATACCTTTTGTCTATCGAGCATATATGCAAATCATTGTACTTGAACCAATGCCTTCTTTAGCTATTCCATAAACCATTTCTAAGACTCTTTGGTTTCAGCTCTAACCATAGCAATGACAATAGGGAAAATACCATTGTCTTCATCCCTGTCAATTGCACTTAATAATTGACCTTTGTAGGAACCCTTCAATAAAAAAACATATGTTAAACCAACTTTTAAACAAATATTAATTACACTGTAATAAATGAAAACTATACATAAAATATTTGCCATCAAGAACAACCATCCACTCCAATGAATAGCCTACACCCTCCTAAAACTCTAATTTTCATTACTTCAAAACATATGAATAGCCCCACAAATCTTACAGGGTCATCAAGTGTAGGTCTGTTGACAGTGGTCATTGCAATGCTATTAGGGTTAGTGCTTTGAATCAAGTGGTAGTAGTCTCTATCTCTATTGAACTGCATCCCATGGTCCATATGAATATGTGCAACTGCCTTTCTCTTTGCCCTATAAACCTTGTATTTGGAAACAATCACATTCAAGTCTCTTAATACTGCTTTCTTTATTGCACCAATCTTCTATTTAGGTTCATCTTTCAAGACCTCCATGTATGTGTTTGCCAAGAAACTTGATGATGCTTGCCTATTGAGTTTGTTATAAGTGCAATTATGAGTATATCTGAATGTTTTGATTTGAAAACTGCCATTTAATTCTCCAGCCACAGTTAGAAGCACATTTAGCAGTGATTATGTCCCTCTCATTCCTTACAAATCTGAAGTCATACTTCTCACTTATAGCATGAGCCCTTAGTGCCTTCCTAAAGGTTGCAGCATCTACAAATTTTTTACCCACTTCAAAACAATTAACCATAACATTAACCCTTCTTAGATTATGTAGGTCATAATCATCATCCTCAGATAAACTATTTAAGCTTTATAGGTCATCACTTGGTGCATAAGTTGTATCAATGTCAGAATAATTGAAATATGTTGTATGTAACTCAAACTCCACCTCAGGATTAACATCATCATGAGCCTCAACATTTGTTACATCAGTCTCCAACTCATTACTGCCATTTGCTATATCATGCTTCATCTCAGTACTGCCATTTGCCACATTAGTGTCCATCTCACTACTGCCGTTTGCCACATCATGTTCCATCTCAGTACTGTCATTTGCCACATCAATATTTGCCAAATCATGCTTCATCTGAGTAACGCCATTTTCCACATCACCATTTGCCACATCATCAATTTTAGTAATGTTATTTAACCCATTCTCCACTTTATCATTAACCACTAGAAGCTCAACATTACTATTTGCATCCTTATATGCCCATTCTAAGATTTTATCTTCCCACTCTGCATGATCCTGCTCATAATCCTTTGCATGATCCTCTTCCTCATTCACACTGTCCACATCTTCAACAATTGTAGTGTTGTGGGAAACTATTAATATTTTAACGAAATGTCATGTAACTTCATAATCTCTGTAATGTAAAGTCTCACCAACTATTCTGAAGTAAAATCAGTGCGAATAGGCAAGAAATGAGTTGATTTGGTCAACCTTTCAACAATGACCCAAATGGAATTGTGATCCTTAAATGAATTAGGCAATCCCTCCACAAAATCAATAGAAATGCTCTCCCACTTCCAATCCGGTATAGGTAGTGGCTGTAGAGGTCTTGGTGGCCTTAGATGATCGATCTTGACCATCTGGCAAGTACTGCATTAAAGACAAAGATAGCAATGTCCTTCTTCATACCTGCCCACCAAAA